CTACTACTGCTACTACCGCGACTACTACCACTGCTACCACTATTTCACTATTACTATTCCTACTGCTGCTGCTGCTGCTGCCGTTGCTGCTGCTGCTGCTGCTGCTGCTGCAGGGGCTAGGCAGATGTGTTTCTTGGCCTCCCTGCCTGATTACCCTTGCGAGTCCTCGCTTCAAGCGAGCGACAGCAGAGCCGTGCGGCGAAGCCCTCGGTGTGGCAAACTCCACCCCCAAAAACCACGGGCGCAGCTCATCCTCTGTCCGAGGCCTGGAACACGGACGTGGTGCAGTTGTTGGCGCTGTGACGCCTGAAGGTGGCGTAAGGCCAGGTTCAGGGTCGTGCAGGGGACGAGTTTTTTGTAAAGTGCACACAGAGAGCCCTCCAATCAACCGAAGTCCTCAAGCTGAGGCAAAAAGCTTACCCCTGCTCCGAGCCGATCCATGCAGTAAGCACCCGAACCCGAGCAAACATGAACGTCATTAGCAACATACATCTATACACATAATTATACATACATACATACATACATACATACATCTTACATACATACATCTTACATACATACATACATACATACATACACATTATTTGTGTGTGTGCATGTTATCGATGGAGGGATGGAGACACCAGTAGGTTCGGATCTACATAGAAGTCTGTGTGGGGCACCACGTGCATGAGGCTCAATAAGCGGGCTAAGGCCAGCCAGTCTTGCACGAGCAGAGCCAGGGTGCAGAATGAGAAGTAAATCGTATTGGGCTCTTTGAGCGCGAGCTTGAAGCGAAACTAGATATCTAATGGATCATAGATAGTATAGAATATATCGTATGCAATATATACTATAGCTGTAGCGGACCCACAACGGGTGGTAATTGATGTGCTTGGAATACTCCGACCTGTTCGTGCAACGGTCGGGGACCAGTACCAGCTCAGGCTGGCAAACTGTCAGAAGCGAGGTCTGAGGTCCTTCCCTCAAGATTCAATACTAATAATAATAACAATAATAGCAATTTTTACAACAATAATAATAATACTACTAATATTGCAAGAACGCACAAAGAAGATACAGTGCAGAATCCTGGCTTCCGTAAGCGATAGCCCTGCGGGCGACACAACCCCCAAGCTTACGGGCCAACCCGAGCGAAGAGGCGCGCGCGGAATGGGCAATGCATCGCAGAGACCAGAAGGACGGGGACGTGGCTGCAATGATACATCTAAACTTTACCCCAAAACCTTAGTCTGTGGGTTTGGTGACAGTACCTTCGCACGTGGATGAATAATTAGCAGGTTAGTTGGGCGAGCCGAAACCTTAAATAATTACCCATAAGGGAACCCTTTAGGGAACCCGTTAGGGTACCCATTAGGGTAACTGCATTTTCCGGCTCATGGGCCTTTGTGGCTTCGCAGCTTCGAGTTTGAGCCGTAGGGGGGGCCGAAAGGTTAGGCCTGCAGGAAGGAGACCATGTTGAAGATGTGGTGCCAAAGGATCGTGACATAAATATCAGATATAGGTGTTGGAACATTTCGTAATTGATTGGTAATGGCCCCGTCTAGTCATGCATTTTCATTGCATGGCCCAACGCCTGACTTTGATTCGTAATTCTAACGGCTTAAGGATTCTTCACTCCCCGAGGTTTTTTGGGGCCGTTCTTGATCCGCCAATAAAAAAACACCAAAATCTGGAATAACGCCCTAAACCCGGAACGCTGAACCCTACACCCCAAACTCTTAACAAGGGCTTAAATTCCAAAGTCAGAAGCCCCCCCACGCTGCAAGGCGGCGACAAGGCATCAGTCCGAGAGACAGCTCCGGTGGAACCGGAGAAACCCCGGGAGGACCTTGGAGTTTATGGTGTTTAGGGCTTAGGGGTTTAGGGGTTTAGGGTTTATAGGGTTTATAGGGTTTAGGGGTTAGGGGTTTAGGGGTTTAGGGGTTTAGGGTTTCGGGGGTTTTTAGTTTTGGGTCCCCCATCTTTCCCAAGCCCCGTTCTAAATGATTCAGGCCCTAGACCTCTAGTATCCCTCATAATTAGTCACCCTTGACACTTGAAAGAACCCTCATCGAAACCCTATTCCTACTATTATGGGCCCCGCCTGACCCTTGCCAGATCCCGGTTTAAGGTTCCAGAGCTTTTGTGCTGCGGGATGGGTGTAGGTTTTAGGGCTGAGGCAGAAGATTTGGATACCTGCCATCAGGACATCCGGGATAAGTACGAGCTGGGGAAAGTTCTCGGGAGCGGTTCATTCGGCCAGGCCGGACGAAGACACAGCGGCTCGACACTCTGCGCCCATTGTCTGAGCCAGCATAGTCCCAACATGGTGCCTGTACTCAAAACTCTAAACCCTAAACCGCGGGCACCTGCCCACGCTCCGCAGTGTTTCTTGGGCGTGTGATATCGGAACAGTGCTGAACAAATCGCTTAGCTCCTCTGACATCACCAAAATCACACTGTCATCACCAAGAAAACTGAACGGATCGCCCTAGCTTTGAATTTTTCGACAATAGGGCCCGAAGTTTGATGCACCCCCCAGGGCAAGTCCAGTTGTTTCTTGCCCTGCTGCAGGTGCGGGAAGCAATTCTAAAGGAACTTCCCGCAACTTGGACTGGATGTCTTCATTGTGCTGCTGTGCATGTTGGCCACACTTCAAACATGTTGCCTGCTAAGGACAAGGTCAGAGCCGTGAAGATTATTGAGAGGGATGATGATGCAGAGGGTGGTGGTGAGTGGAGTGGCTCGGCTCGCACATTTAGTGCTGCCCTCAGCCGGCGGCTAGTTAAACTGACTGAATTTGTATCGAGACCCGTTCTGAACGTCCCGGTCACTGAAGAAGATCTCGTGTCGCAGGTCTTCGATAACCATTTCTGGATCATTCTGAAGCAATCACTCTGTCGCATAGTGTGTCCGACCTGTTGCCGGCTGAGTGGCCCGAGGGCATCCACGCGGATGCACCGAACGATACGTTTGAAGTCAAGCTTTCTTCCAATCGATTCCATCTGTATTATCTTGAAGCAAGCAGGCGAACACTGCAACCTCAATGCTCTGAGCTGACGATCTTGTAGCATCAGACCCTGAAGCACAGCTATTGCAATGGCAGTACGTAAATCGTTGGTGTCGATGTGTTGCTGTTGTGATGATGTTGCCGTTGCTGTTGCCACTGCTGCTGCTGCTGCCGGTGCCGGTGCCGCTGCTAGTGGTGGTGGTGCTGCTGCTGATGCTCGTAAAGGTTCTGGTGCTGGTGCAGGTGGCGGCGGCCGTGCTGGTATGGTTGTTGTGGTTGTGATGGTTGTTATGGTGGACATCCTCGTCGTTGCTGCTGCGGTTGCTAGCAAGAGGAACGCTCTGCCATCATGCCTACTGGGCCTACTGATTCTGCTTAAGCAAGCGTTGTATTTCAAGCCTTTTCGACTGCATGACTCAATCCTGGAAAGTTAAGCAGGTAAGTCAATGTCAGAGAGGACATGCGACGTTATGCAGAGTGGGGTATTCTCCGTGATGGGGTCGGTGATAGGACTCTCAGATTATGGTCGCCCTCCGGATTGCCAGCCCTGTCTTGAGGGATAACAGCCACCTCAGGCTTCATGCATGCTGTTGGTAGTCACGAACCTGTGAAACGCCTGTTTGACCAGCAGGCAACAGCGCCATGTTCCGGCAGGAGGCAGGGACGAGGGAGGGTGTCGATGTTCTGAAGCTACAGCTGTTGGGTTTGGGATCGGGTTTCGGGAACCTGACAGGATTTCCACATGCTTCTGTGGAGATGTTCAGTTCATGGTGGACCTCCCGCCGAGGTGGCATTGCTCCAGAACCTGAAGCATGACAATATTGCCGCAGGGCTTGAAGGTTGAGGGGCTTGCCTGATTTTTCTTTCCGAGTAGGGCTAGGTAGCTTTCAGGGCGGGTGGGCGAGTATCGCGGTCCGACCACCCATCGTACAAGCCCCCTTCCACATTCGACCCCTCCTCCATTCGGTGCTTCCCGTATTTCCTGGCTTTTTGATGGGCATGTACCCTCGGGAAAAATCAGGCCCAGTGTGCTGCACCCCAAAACCCTTCTCGGGGCTGTCTGGTGACCCCGGGCTTAAATGACGGGTTTGTTGGAATCATGCTCCTTCTAAGGATCACCCTGAGCATGATGCGTGAGCAGTCTTGCAGGCTCCCAAACATCAACAAGAGCTCGCCTTGAAGAGCACCCCCCCAATCCCAAAAAGCCTTAATCATACAGTGCACCCGTTTGCCACGTTTCATGCATTTTTCACACTAAAGGTCCGCTTCTGGGACGTCTATGAAGATGTGCACTTCCTGTACGTCGTCAGAAGCTCAGCAGTTCCAAGAGGAAGCTCTTGGGCCTTCGCTGTGAAGATCTGGAAGTTCGTCGGTCTCTCTCTCTCTCTCTCTCTCTCTCTCTCTCTTGCTTCCTGTTTGCTCTCTCTATCTGTCTCTGTCTTTCTGAGTGTGATTGTGTGTGTGTGCGTGTGCAACCCTGTGTGCAAGGGCAGTATAAAGATTCTCGGCATCAATCAGCTACTAAGGTTGGGGTTGGCGTCCGTTCCGCGCCGTCTTGTGTCATGTGTGCGTTGTTGCACCAAAACAATTTTCGAGATTCTACCCATTGTGCTTTCAATCTGTGTGTGTGTGTGTCCGTGTCTATCTCTCTGTGTTTCTCCTTCCCTCTCTGGCCATCGTCGTTATCTATTGGTGATCATTGGTTCCTGACAAAGGGGCACACACATTTATACAATACAGGTGTACCCGTATGTATATCGACTTCTTCACCGTTCAGCTTCCGGAACATCAGGTGATGGATCTCTGTCGCGGAGGGGAAGTGTTTTCGACACCTGGCCGGGCGCTGGTGATTGTATGTGTAGGCCAGACTAGCCCAGAACTACCAGCTGGGGTAAATCGCATTGACAGGGAACGGGGTACATCATCCACACCACCATTGTCACCAAGCTCATACACAGCATCACCGGCACCATCATCATCGTTATCATCAAGAATTGTACGCCAATGCTGCTATCACCAGCGCGTGTCACTTCACAAAGTGTGCTCTGCCCCTTGTCACTATGGCAATCATGGCAATCATCATGTTTTCAGTTATCGTCACTAACTAGAAATCCGGTCATTGGCACTTCTGTTTGGAGCTGTTACCGCCAGCCTGCATGCCCTCGGGGGTTTGGGGGCCTGGGTTTGGAGTTTACCTGGAGTCAGCAGGGTACCCGTGAAAACGGGAAATGGTCCCACTTCTTGGGGTCACATCCTATTCTTGCATTTACATGGAAGCAGCCTCAGGGTTCTTGGGATTGGTCATTCTTGATTTGTTTCCTAAACCCTAAGAGGCCCTAGAAGGCCGGCTGTGCTCGCTGATTGTGGTTTGAGATGCGGAAGCCCCACGCCCTGCGACGGGACCCAGCTCAGGAAAATCCTAGAGCTGCGGCGATTCACAGAAGCGAACGCAGCAACTTTAGGGTCCCAAATGCTGGCCCCTTGGCTTCATTCGAGAGTAGTTGCGGATTTAGAGGTCGAAACCCTAAGCCTGAAATATGTCTAGGGTTTGCGGTTTAGGGTTTAGGGTTTCTATGCTGCGAGTTTCGGGGAAGACGGTGGAGGATCTTGCGAAGGCAAACCCCGAAGCAAAAAGGGGAGCCCAGAGTCGATGGGGCCTCCACAATGTTCAATTGGCTTGGGGGGGGGGGGTAAAATATGAATGTGTAGAGCATTGCTTGTCTAATTACTCGTAGTATATGTCTATATATATATATATGAATGACATTACTTGTGGTATAAACGAATGTAAGGTATCCTGAGGAAGAATATGACGAAGCATTGAAACTTTGGACTCTGTAGAGCTCCAGAGGTCGGGGTTGTTGTGAGGGGGCCACAGGAGTCTCGGCGCGAGAGATTTCAAATTCTATTTCTGAGCCAAGATATGGGTTCAGGGTTTATGCCAACGCCAAGTTGATTCTGAAGACCAGCCAGGGTGTGCGCGATTAAGTTGGGACGGATCGTACCGGCAAACATCCTTGAGGCCCCGTGACTCTGCAGGACATCTGCTTGGCACGTTGCACCAAGTACTGCCGGTTCACCACGTTCTGGTGTCTTGCACGGGAACAGGAATGAAAAGGCAATCGAGATCACATTACAGCCTTGCAGCCAGAAAGGGCTCCGACGTGCAAGCTGAGGCAGCCATCGCTTACATCCATAGCAAGAGCATCATGCACCGCGACATCAAGGTGGGGAACTGGCTTGTGAGAAGTTGAGCCCTGTGCTCGGGGAAATGACGGACCTGGAGGTGCTTGAACGGCGGTAAATGAGTAGATACCCCGATGTATTTTCCAATTATCTACAATAAGAATAATACTACTAACGAATATTCACAATATTCATAATCATATTAAAAGTGGTAACAAGAATAAGAACGGGGATCCTTACATGTCGGGGAGGTCCCATATCCGTAGACGAGATGCTTGCCTTCTTTATACAATGTCCCAAGCCGCAACTGTCAACCAGCGTATGTTCTTCGTTGCTGCGAGTTTTAACTTGACGACGACTTTTATGGCTATTTGGTTGCTATTTCCGTAGTATTGCGCCTTGAAACTATCCTTGTCGGCAGCATCCCGGAAGCATGAAAGCCATCATGCTTGCATCCAAAGGCGGAGAATTTTTTGCTTTCCGACAAATCGCCAACCTCGGTCGTCCCTGCCTCAAAAGAGTTGGGTTCCTGAGTTCCGGAAGCGCCGATGTTGGATTCAATGCAGTTTACTAGACCCTAAGCCCTAGCAGATTTCGATGAATGAGGGAAGCCTGGGAGACTCAGCTTCTTGGAAGGGCTTGGCAGTTCAGCATGAGGCCCCACAAGTTTTGGGGGGAAGGAATCATGGAACCCCGCCCCATAGCTTTGTTGAGACCACTCCTAAACCCTAAACCGCATAAGGTTCGGAAGTTCCCTGCGGTGCGACATAGTCAGCTGGGCGGGTGGGAAAAAATGAGGTTCGGAAGTTTTATTGGGCACCACACCCGAGCCGCAACGGCACAGGGTCTCGTGTAAGCAATGCCCAAAAAGCCGCTAAAAGATGGAGATGGATGAGTTGGGCTCCTTCAATACTGGCATTTCAACGTCTTCCCGTATAAGGGCCATCAGATGACGGTCTAAGCTTTCGGGAATAGGAACCAGCAGAACCCCTCTGTGGTTCCAAGGTCAAAATGATCGACTTTGGGATGGCCGTGAAGTTTGACCATGGGATTTGGTTCAAGGCCAGAGTCAGGGCGAAGGGTCCAGGGAAGCCGCTGGCAAATCTGGCTAGAATTCCTACATGTTGGGCCTTCATACCGTTGTCCCTGCGACAGGCTTGGTCACCACAGTCTTGCCTCAAGATGGTTTGGAAGATATTGTGCTCGGGGGTGGGGGGGGGGTGCTTACGGGCTGGCTGTTTCGATAGGATCTTTAGAGAACTCTTTGGTCTTGGGTGTTGGGGCACGACACCCTGCGCGAGATGCCATTCCTCGATGATGTCGATACGAANNTCCCCCCCCCCCCCCCGCACTTCACCGAAATCTCTGGAGTAAATCCCAAACACCTGAAATACCGAATTTCAGATCTCCCCTCCAAAATAACTTCAACTCCATACCCCCTGAGCGTGTCATGAACCGCCCAGCCTTTTTCCCTGAATTCCCTTTCACGCGCGAGGAGATCTGTGGCTCTCCTCACTACTTAGCTCCGGAGCTTATCGGCCCCGGTCCCGGACATGTTCACTTAGCCGAGATGGGTCAAGATGTAGATGACTCTTTAAAGCTTAGTGAGTTTTTGTGTTAGGAATTAGGGCTTATATTAGCTAGGGGGGCATCATCTAGGTCCCTGACACGCAAGACATCATCACCGTGATCGGTGAAACTGCTGGGATTGACCGCAAGAGCATCTTAAAGACCTGGACGGTTTGTAGCAAGCGAAGTCCTACTGTATCGTTCTGTTTTGGCACTTGCAAAGGAAGACCGGCTGTATCGTAATGATAGCACCATCGTAGTCACAAGAGTCTGGGCAACAGTAGTGAAAAGCGGGCAAAATCTAGCGCTGTAAGCCGGAGAAGAAACAGGGCGCAAGCAGCCGCTAGCAGCGGTCGTTGTGGTTCTAAGTAAAAAGAGCCGTTAAGTGTAGTTGTTGACAGTTTTTTGGCTACAGCATGTGCGAAAACAACTCAACAACCGGCAATGATGACGAAAAAGGGAGCAGCATGTCCTAGCAACCGCGAGCGCACATGGGAAAGCATACACCACACGGCCATCGCTGGAGTTGTGTTTTGCATTTGGTAATGACCCTGAGGGCAACATAATGACGTAGTGCAATCCGTGTCTTCTTTGTTCCACTGTCTCTCTCTCTCTCTCTCTC